GTTGTGCCGTATGGACACAATTCCGGAGGTCTTTTCACATTGTTCTTTGATTTTCTGAGCGCAGAGCTTTGTTTTCTCCCCAGTTGCATCGACACCTACATGTCATTGACGTTCTTCCACCACCATCAATCTTCTCCAGCTTGGTAGGTGGGTCAACCATCAGCACACGTACCAAATTATAAATCTTCTGACATTTAACTTTGCATTAGTATATGGCAGTAGCATTAGCAGGCAGAAGTAGCTTCCGTGTTGCACTGTGGACAATTTTTCAGAGTCGGAGCGTAGTTGCCCTTAATGCAGATGATCATTCTCCTGCACGCGCGAATTCATTCCTGATGAGCAGTCAGACTGACATTTTTTCTGCTTTAAGAGGCTTTTCCTTATTTTAATCATATACAGATGCTTCTCGACTTACGATGGGGTTCCGACGAACTCATCATAAGTTGAAAATATTGTACGTGGAATATAAACACAACATGATAAATAAATAAGTAAATAAATAATTGCTGCCATTTAATAAATAAATAAATAACTGTAACTAGCTAAATGTCAGTGACTGAAAAGTTAACATTGCTTGCTAAAAGCTGATACTGAGATGGAAGCTATAGCGACAAAGTAATAAATTTTTTCTGATGATTCGCATTCGCGAGCATAGTTCGTAGAAAGCATTGAGTTGTCGACACTTCTTGATGGTTCAGGAATAGGTGCTTGCTTTTTCAGGAAAATATTAAGCTTTGAGTGGATAGATTATTTCTTCTTTTCATTATAAATTTCTTTATTGCAGGAGCACCATGAATTTTGTCTTTCAGATTGTGCAAATCTTTCATTAGCATGATCATATCGTCACCGTATGATAAGTTCTCTGTTGCTGTCGCTACAGTGACTGAGGGCGCATCGCTCTCGCATCATCGTAAAGCGAAGAGCATGCATGGTGTGGTGTAAGTCTGATTCCGCTAAGTTTATAGGACGTCATTTCTGTTAGTATAATTCTGAATTTACCTTAAAATTTCCTTTTTACAGAGTACACATCTTTTGTAGTACGTTACCGGAAAATGTCTATTTTAAATTATGTTTATTTGTTTTACAAATATTTGGAGATGTTAATGACTGTTTGATACTCTGTTTTAAGTATATCGCTGATAAAGCGATATTTTACTCTTTACTCTGTTACAGAATAAAAATGTTATATTCACCTTTGAAAACAAACCTCTTAGAATAGAATTCACTATCACATTGAATGTTAGTATTGAGTGTCAGTATATTTTTGAGCTTCATATCTATTTTATTCAGTGCTTATTTACTTAAGCTTATATTTCATACATTTCAAATTAGTCGCGCTATACGTAATTCGAAATTTTGTTTTTCAATCACTTGAATTGCGAATTAGCCATGTCGTTTAGAAACGTGGACAAAATTCAGTTGTCTCCAAATGACACGAAGGCGTTCCTAGGACATTCCTATCCCTATGGCTTTGATCCAGTACTACGTCTGAAGTCTATCTTTCAGACTGTTTGACTTTGCTGTTTAGATCTGGAGCTTGGCCGAAAACAAGTTGAACTTTTTGAATTCTTTCAAGATGAAGATGTCGATCATCCTCGGAGTCGCTCAGATGCTTTTTGGTGTACTTCTTAGTTTTGTCAACTTCAGGTACACTTGCTTCATTTCGTTAACAACTTTGCTCTATTCTACGAACTTGCTATAAAATATACGTACAACTAGGCACTTCTTCAATGTATCAATTCTAGGTTCTGAAAATTGCTTAAAATCCTCCAAAGGCAGAGTACATACTACAGTAAGGAGATGCATTTTATCCCAAATGTTTCCTTTACTCCATATTGTTGGGCAGATGTCTGGCATGAGTAAGGACTACCTAGAAAATGCTTTGTTGGAGGCACTGTTCAGTCCCCCTTCACCGATCGAAAAAATATTTAAGTGGTCTGTGCCCATGAAAATGTAAGGTGCATGTTTAGGCATCGTTTAAAAAATGGTCATCCATGCAAAGACGTCTAAAAACGTTAGATGCTTCTAATTCGAAATTTACTGTATTTCCGTGGCAAAAGCTTTCTGTTGCCTGCAGTTCACGAATAATTACCAGCAAAAGCAAAGTGAGAGTTTATAGCCGATGGAATGTATTTCTGCAAGACAGTTCTGTTGTATCGGTCAAATACCATAAGCAAAAACTAGAAAAATCTTTTGACAAATTCCGGTATGATATCATCGCTGACTGTTATCGATTGTCCCCGTAGAAAGGATCAGAAACGGCCCCCTCCTGTTCGAAGGAATGACCATATACTCATGCCTGCCGGAATGTCAAAATGGAGGAATGAAGGTGCATGTTTTGAGTCAGTAACCAAAAGTGCATTCGACATGTAATAAAAGATCAAAGCATGAATGCCGCTGAGGTTAGAGTCACGCTGTGTTTGAAAGTGTTGGTCCATAGAAAAAGGGACAAAAACAAATGCAGGAGGAACAGACCATTTCGCGTGGCTGTTTGACGTTCAAGTTGGTTATTCATTTTCAGGTGATTGTTGCTGTTGTGTGTACTTGCGCGAAATGGCTATTGACTTCCAAACTCTTTCTTTTATTGCCGATCCCCTGTAGCCCTGATTCACTTGCAATATGAACAACGTTGTTTTTAGCACGGTTTCTTTCATACAGCTTATGACGTGGTGCTGTTCTCTGTTGTCTGCTTGTTATTAGCCGTGGTACAGTATTGACCATTGAAAACAGTATCTACAGCTTTATGATCGCTGCAGCTGGTCGTTTTTGCTTCCTTAATACATGGCAGTATTGCCAAAAGTGAACGATCAAGCCATGAAATCGTATCTCAGCCTCAGGTGTACACAAGTGTATTCCTTGTAGTCATTATGGAATCCCTGAAAAATTGTCGTGTACCTGAAAGGTTCAGTGAAGTCGTAATAATCAGGTTGATGTTGGACGGCCTCTTGTCATTAAGCCAAATTTCTATGAAAGGCGGATGCCCTTGCTAAGGTTAAAACTGAAGAATTAATTATTTTGTCTCGAGAGAGGGCATACTGAGATATTTTCATCATGACGTCATCATTTTCTGAAAAAGGACAGAAGGTGGCATTTGTGACTGAATAAATGAATGAATCTTGCTTTCCCCCAGCTGCCTTCAGTCATGTCTTCCACAGTACTGTAGTATGTTTCTAGGTCTTCGGAAATTGGGTAGCTTCATGTTGCTCTTTACGATATCGGGTCATTTTCATTTTGCTAATCTTTCCCTGGTATCTTTTGCACCTCTTTACCGTCATAAAATAAATCAACGACTGAATGCGTATTTATTTTCTGAGACTCCTGTTAGCCTTTGTTTTTCGACCCTACATTATATGCTATTTCGTTTAGATTTTTCAAGAAACCACTGGACATTTATGGTGTTTTCATCCCTGAACTACTCTTCATGTCTTGCATATTCCTGTACCTGTGCATTCTTATATGTTACAAATGGGTAACATTTTCCTGCTTTGAAACCTTCTTTCCGGGGCTGAACAGCACGTATCCGGGCTCGCAGTGTGCACCATCGCTCCTCATTGGTCTGATCGACATGTTCATGTTTGCCTCCAATAGGCCGACTGGTTTCAATGCTAGCGGATGTCCGGCTGATCCACTCTTCTACCCACACCAGGTTACGCTGTGTTGTTTGTAACGAACATGTTATGCGTTTTCCGTTACTCCGATTTAATTTTTTCTTTTCGGTATTTAATTTTTAATGCCCTGTTTATTTAATTTTGATTATTTTTTTGTAATTTAGCATTACCCGTTTATTTAACATTTGTATTTTGATATATCATATTTAACTTTTTGATAATTGATGGCTAATTAACGCCGTCGCTATATATTTCTAGGGGGGCTTTGAAGGTTTTCTCGTCGTAGTTGCGCTCCTGTGCATTCCGATGATGCTGTTTTACAAACCGATCATGCTATATCGACAGCATCAGCAGCGGCGAGCGTTTTCCAATGTTATGGTATGCTGTCACGAAATTCATCGGTGTCTGTTTTTTAGAACATTGTCGAAGCTCTGCTGGTGGTTGTTGCTGTTCTGTGCATTCCGTGGATGCTTGTCCTTAAGCCTGTAGGTCTTTTGTTGCAGCACTCACACCACCACGAGACATCTGATTGCATGGTATATGTCGTTCTTTGTCCGTTTTCCTTGTAACTCTATTGCGATATGCATGAGCAGATTAGTTTTTTCTATATTTTCTCTAATATCTAACACTCGTAATTTTCTGTCTGATAATCACGCGTTCATTCATTCATTCATTCATTTTCCATAACCGCTTCTCCTTTCCGGTCGCGGAGGCAGACGCGTCAAACAGTGCTCCCAGCGTTCTTGATCCTGTACCAGAGTTTGAGCTTCAGCAGACTACTTCCATATATTTGCACCAGGTTAATCTTGGCCGTCCCCTGGGCCTTCTGCCGCTCGGCTAAGCAAGAATAGTTGTTTCCC